AGCGCGTCGAGTCAGCGAGTGGCGAGTCAGCAGCAGCCATCAGTGAGCGGCCAGTCAGCAGCAGGCGAGTCAGTCAGCAGCCACCGCGCGATCGATAGCGCGTCGAGTCAGCGAGTGGCGAGTCAGCAGCAGCCATCAGTGAGGGGCGAGTCAGCAGCAGGCGAGTCAGTCAGCAGCCACCGCGCGATCGATAGCGCGTCGAGTCAGCGAGTGGCGAGTCAGCAGCAGCCATCAGTGAGGGGCGAGTCAGCAGCAGGCGAGTCAGTCAGCAGCCACCGCGCGATCGATAGCGCGTCGAGTCAGCGAGTGGCGAGTCAGCAGCAGCCACCAGTGAGCGGCGAGTCAGCAGCAGGCGAGTCAGTCAGCAGCCACCGCGCGATCGATAGCGCGTCGAGTCAGCGAGTGGCGAGTCAGCAGCAGCCACCAGTGAGCGGCGAGTCAGTCAGCAGCCGCCACCAGCGAGCACATACATGTTACATGCTCGCGGAGGTATGCACTCTCCGTGAGTGCCCTCAGTCTAGTTGGTATTAAAACAGAAGCATGGCCATATCATTACGAGTCGCGAGAATACGGATTTTTTCTGCTGGATATCGTGCTGTACGCGTTTAGTCAACGCGACTCCCCCAATGTCGAGTTCAGTGTGCGTGCACGTGAATGTGTGTGCATATCAGAGAACATGCAAACGCGTACTTTCATTGGCGGAACTAAGGCTCGCCAGGTAGAAGCAAAGCAAGTAAGGGTAAGTTCTAAAGATCTTGCTTGCACCATGTATCACCAGCAAAGATGTATCCGCTACACGGTAGAAGGTCTCGCGCCTTATCTAATGGTAGGAGTTGAAAATGTCTTCCATGGCAGGTTAGGTGGTTTATGGTGTGTGTGCGTGTGTGCGTGCGTGCGTATTTGTGTGCGTGCGTGTGTGTGTGTGTGTGTGTGTGTGTGTGTGTGTGTGTGTGTGTATGCGCGCGCTTGGTTATATGTGCGTGTTCCAGGAAAACAGTCCCAAGTATTCCCAATTCCGTTAACAACTACGTCATGGATCGCCGACGGATTTCGGAACATCATGATCATCATGGTACATGCTTGCAATTACCATGGACGTATATGCACCCAGTAAAGAATACATGTGTTCATGCTATAACTACGGCAACTCTCAGGGAGAAATGAGCGCTTAATTTCCACGAATTATTTCGAACTTCAAAGGAACACTCACCATAGTCTGTGTTTTCTGGCTCCCAACAGTTCGAAGGCCAAAAGTATGGCGTCTGAAATTAGTAAAACACAGAATTAGCGCATTACAGAGCAAAATATGAGAGATCACAACTATATGTTTTACCATCAGGCATCAGGTATAGCAAATATTAACCCTTATTGGCGATCATATACGTTCACGTCACACCTGTCTTTGATACAACCCACACGCGCACGCGGACAGCTTCCAAAATCTAACGTAAAAATGAGAAAAATCCAGAAAAAAAGATAGCAGGACTTAGTTGAATAAGCGTGCGCCTGGTCTGGCCCTGTACCGTCGCAAGAGCGCGCGACACAACAAAGCCAGAAGGTATTGACCAAGGTAATGGATACAGCACGTAAAACACGACAGCAGCCGTGCGATTGAAGCAGGGAGCGGAGGAGGAGGAGGAGGAGGAGGAGGGGAGGGGTGCTAGTGCGGATATGAACACAGTAACAGCTGCGCCGGTATATATATACCGCAGCGAGAACACCGCTTTCGGGCGATCGACTAATAATGAAAGCACCCGCGATAACGTGACTCTGAATTCGAATCTTCGGTCATCGCCTGCATCTAGTGCATTTTCTAGGGGGACAGAATTCCCCGCGAGAAGTTTTCCCGCCGGCGTTTCTGTTGTACGCTCGACGATTCATGGAGCACGCACATGCCTACGTGCCTTCAACTAAACCTTTCGTCATCTCTAATAAAAAACGCGGGTTTTTCGTTTTGTCTACGAACCGAACCGCCCATGTCTATAAACGTGCCTGTATGAATCGTCGCGCGGACACTCTCCATGGCTGTTATCCGGCGACGCTTACCGCGGTCGCAATTACTGCTTGGAATTGAATCACGGAGCTAGCGCGGCGACACCGGAGAGAAATCTGCGTGAAAACATTTCTTCACGCTATTCGCACTGCGATGCGTAACGGGATTAAAATATGACTGAAATCCAATTTGTGTCTCGTTAAGCAATCTCTTCACTTTATTCAAAGAAGTATACTTTTTTGTAGGCAATTTTTTTTAGCAAATGACGCTACACGCGAAGAGAAAACCTGCGGGAACTGCGGCATGCAGAAAAAATGCTGATTGCATTCTAGGATGCGGATACACGACATGATATATCATATAGCCTCCGTGCGGCATCAAGCTGCGACGGGAAATCTGGCTGGCGGCAGATAAGTTGTCAGTCAGAGGATTCGCAGAAAAGAGCGTCATTGCATACAGTGTTTCGCTTTATTCGTAATTTGCTTACATACTCACGCACGATACTGG